CCGATGCATTGTTCTGGATGAGGGTCTGCAGCCGTCGCTCTCCGACAGGGTCACATGCAAACACACTTATGCATACGGCGAATACGACAGCACGCATTAGAGGAACAACGCCGGCCTGTTTTCTGCTTCTTCTTTTTTTTCCCCTGCGTGTTTCAAAAAGAATAAAGAATGCTGCTGCTGCTGCTGCTGCTGGTTTCTAAATCGATTTCGCTGTGTGCAGGGCAGTAATTATTTATTAATTCATGCAAAAAAAATGCACTCAAAGTACAAAAAAAACAGTTAGTGTTGGTCTGAAGGATCCAGCGTTCAGCACACGCTTTGATTTAACAGTAAAATACTAAAATAATTTAGTTAAACGATATATTCTGTTACGGTTGATGCAGACGCTACAGCAGAGGATGAGGTTTAATCCGGATGCCAGTGTAATTACATTAACGATAATTACCTGTGAATTACAACGTTTTTGCGGCTGAGAACGGACAAACAGGGCTGCCGACATAGATATTAAATAATGTTTGCAGATGAAAGTTGAACATTTAAAAATGCGCTGACACCCCGTTGAACTCTCCCTGTATGTTCAGCATAATGTGCATCCGTTTAACTCAGAAAGGAGGAAGCTTGTGCAGAAGTTTTGGGACCTAGAAGGTCGTCAGGCAACAAGAATCAGGTCCTTGGAGTCGCTGACCTCCTCTGAGAAGAGCCTGCAGCCGTTCCTGCATTTACACGAGTTCTAATTTCCTTCAAACATTCTTTTATAAATGTTTCCGACCTCCTCCGACACCGCGTTGGCTTCATACAATGAGCCGTGTTTTCGTCTTCGTTTGAAAGCCTGATGATTCAGTGACTCGTCTGTTTTATTTTGTGACCTGGACTCTGAGGAGAGGAGTTTTGTTTGCAGCAACAGAAGCAGAAATAAGCGTTTAATGATCAGCATTAGAGTTTTGAAACAGCTGCACTTCCTGTCGGTTTTTAAAGGTTGCAGGTTCTTGCAAACGTCTCGGCTCCTCGGTGTCTTCTGCCTCTTCGTGGTTCTCTGCAGCAGGAACCTGCAGGTTGACATAGATCAGCTGGAACCTTCACGCAACTCCAGAACCGTCTCTGCAGATCCTCTTTCAGAACAATTACGAAGGAGATGAAGCACGTTCTTCCACTACGTCCCCGTCAACGCCATAAAAACACCCGACATGCTCATGAAGCTGGAGTCCAGCTGCTGCAGGACTCCTGGATGTTCTTGTAGCTGAAGATACTTCTTCTTTGAATGAGTTTGGGGCCAATTGGACTTGATCATAGAGACGCTTTCACGTCGTAGGAAATCGTTTCTGTCGGACCACGTCTGACCATCGTTCACTTTGGGTTTGGTGAAGTTTAGGATTTAATAACTGCGTGTTAGAAGCTTGGTGAGGTTTAGAAACCAGAACGACTTGGTTAGGACCAGAAAAACAGGTTTTATGATCGTTTGTCAGCATGTTTGAAGCTTCTCCTCCATTTTATTTGATGCCAGGTGATGATCTAATGTGTGATTATCCAATAATGATAAGATCTGTGATTCAGTCCACAATAAAACCAACAGAGAGCGCTTTAGCTGAGCTCAAACATCCCAAAGGCCTGAAACCTTCCTCACTGTCCTACAAACACCGTCTGACCAGAAGAGCTGGTTCTGAACACAGACCCGGAGTCGGCTGCAGCTCCCGGCGTCCATCCGTCAGCTCAGCAGAACCAGAACCACTTTGCAGAAGCGTCTTTTGGCTCGAAGCGTCTCCGCTCTGAGTTATTATGAAGCGAAACGCTTAGAGAGACATTCTTCTCCAGTAATTTTCTCTGCTGTGGGACGCGCTGCCTCGTGCCTTTGATGCCGTTTCCCTTTCAACGTAAAACAAGACATGAATTTAACATCGCCGCTGTTTATCTCGGCCCGGGCTCGCGCAGCTTTCAGAATGCGGGGAGAACATTTCCCGCGGCCATGTTGCTTAGAACAATTTAGCAGTTCAAAGTTGTTTTAATGCGTCCGTGTGTGGCTCTCCTCAAACAACTTGCCAGCACTTTTCAAAGACTAACAGTAGAATTAACATCAAACGGCGAAGTTGCGGCGAGCGTACGGCGCGCCGCTGTTTGGTTTGGTGGGTTTGTCTGTGATCCATCGCCGCCTCGGGTCACTCTCGCCTCTGTTTGCTCGCTCTTCCTGTTTCATCTCTGCAAAACGTGCGCTGAAATATTAAAGGAGCTTTTGTATGTGTTGTCTCAAATAAATAAGTCATTGTTGACGGCGAGCGGCGGAAGCAGCAGCTGCCGGGAATCGCTGCAGCTCCGCCAAACGCCCGCTCCGTCACCGCTTCACCCGATTAATCAATAAGTCAGGAGACGTGGAAACCTGCTGAGGAGACGCCCACCTGCTCCTTAAAGGTCCAAACATTCCTGTCGTAGGAACGCAGAAAAACATCAGAAACCCAACAGGAGCAGAGAGGAAAAGCCAAACCGAGGCTGCAGCGGTGAATAAAAGTGCATTTAGATCGTCTGAAGGCTGTAGATGCTTTTAAAACACCCCGTAGCTTTGCTGAGACGTGTTCTAGCCTGTTAGCATGTTGCGCTACGTGCAGGAAGCTAACAAAAGCAGCTAACAAAACTAGCATTTCCACCTTAACGCTGCTTTTGTGCATCGTTATTCTACTTGTACGGTTGAGTTACTCCGATATTAACTTTGACAGCTTTGGAGCAGAGTCACGGGTGAGCTGGTGTGCTCGAGTCGCAGAGACACGAACTTCATACATAAACATCGACTTTTAATCCATTTTAAGTTGGAACCGAATTATTTTTGTGGCCAAAAAAACATCTAAATGTGTAACTTTAATGCACAGAGAGGAGTTTTTAGGAGTTTAACCAAAGACTGGAGAAGAAGTAAAATAAAATAAAGTTTTATTCTAATTCTAATTCTAGAACTTTGATGGAAAACATGAAAGAAGAAACATCAGGAAGAGCTTCTTCCAGGATGAACCGACTAGAGTTAGAGTGCAGAGGAAAATAGTGTCATCACAAGAGACTGCACACATATTTGGAGATCTAGATCCAGGAGGACATCAAGCACCTTCCAGGTGGACCTCCCCTCCATCATGGAGACCTGGAGTCCATCCATCCATCATCTTCTGCTCATCCAGAGTCTGTCGTTCCAGATGTTCCTCTCCACCAGGTCTTAAGGTATTCTCAGGCTGGATCAGAACCCCTCTGGTAAGTTCTGGGTCTCAGTTGCACAGAAGAAAAGGAAGACAACCAAGAAGCCTCCTGATCAGCCACCAGAGCTCCTCACCTCATCTCCAGAACAAAGCCCAGCCACCATAAGGAAGGAATCAGTCACCATCCAGAGCTCCAGACCCAACCAAAGGCTGACGGATCCATCAAGAGCTTCACCTTCCAGCTGACGGTGCCGAGTCGTTTCATTGTCACCTACCAACGAAACCAGAGATGTTTGGACTCCCTCGTTTGGGGCAGAACTTTGCCTCCAACCCAGAAGAAGAAACCCAGCGTTCAGACGACAGCTCAGCGTCACCATTCATGCAGAAAACAATAAACAGGAAATAAAAGAAGACGAGCGAAATCGGGTTTCTAAAAACAAAAACCGTCTGAGGTTCTGGACAAACAGAACCACAGGCAGCCGGACCAACACCACAGAAGGCCTAATGCGTCTTACGAGACCAGATCAGATGTATAATTCAGGTGGCTCCGGGGCAGCTCCAGACTTATGACCGTCAGCGGGCTACATGACATGAAGGAAGCTGCTCGTGTCTGAATTATACATAAGAGCCGTGAGGAACATCTACCAGGCTTCGGTTTAAATGTTTATCAGCCCCCCGCAGCGAAACGCCGCCGAGACGCGTCTCCACCGCTACAAACCGCACATCGTCTTTGAAGAGCTCGACAGAGATATGTGGAGTTATTTAGAAACGGTGTCCTGAACAATCAGCCGGACATGGAGAGGAGATGAAACTGGATCTTCTGAAGGAACCCTGGAACTCTGCTGGATAATCAGACTCTGATGTGACTCGGTGACTGGCAGCAGGTGACGGAGGTACGAGTCCATCCAGACATCCTCCATGTCGGTCAGCCATGTTCCTCTCTGTCGCTGTGGGTCTCGTTTTCCTTGTTTTATGTCATTTTGTGCCTCGTTTTGGTCGTTTCATGCGTCTTAAGAGCAGTTTTTATTTAATTTTTTTGCTCTGGAGTCATTTTGTCTAGTTTTTGTTATTTTGACAAAGACTGACCACAAAGAGACAAAACTCCCCAAAATCACACAAACTAGCACAAAAAACAGGAAACAAAACGAGAGAGGGAAGAGAGAAAAAAAAGACAAAAACTAGACAAAATGATCCACATCAGGGGTCTCCAGTCCTGGTCCTATGAAACACAAAAAAAACTAATTGACAGAAGGAAGACCAACAAAGTGACCACAGAGTAAAACAAACTGCCCTGAAGACATAAAACGACCAAAACGAGACAGAAAATAACAACAAAAACAAACAAAACAACAAAACTGTGCTTTAGACACGAGTCACTGAGCAAACTAACCGAGTCTGGTTTTGGTTGTTTTATGTCTAAAGCGCAGTTTGCTTTTACTCTGGAGTCACTTTTTCTAGTTTTTGTCTTTTTGTTTCTCGTTTTTCGTGCTAGTTTGAGAGAGTTTTGTCTCCTTGTGGCCATTTTTTTCTCCCTTCTGTCATGTTGTGTCTCGTTTTGATTGTGTAATGCGTCTGAAGGCCAGTTTTTATTTTGCTCTGCAGTCATTTTGTCTAGTTTTGGTCATTTTCTTTTGTCTCCTGTCTGTCGTTTTGGTTTGTTTTTTTGTGTTTCGTGTCATTTTGTGCTTCGTTTTGGTCGTTTTGTGTCTAAAGGACAGTTTCTGTTCCTCTGCAGTCATTTTGTCCAGTGTTTTTTATCTCCTCTCTTTGCTGGTGGATCTTCTGTAGAAACCCTGGAACTCTGCTGGATAATCAGACTCTGATGCGACTCGGTACCGGCGGCTGACTGGCAGCAGGTGACGGAGGTCGCAGGTACGAGTCCGCCCGGACATCCTCCATGTCGGTCAGCCGTCGGTCGCGTTCCGCCGCCGCCGCCGCCGAGGGTCGGATCAGCCGAGACTCTTTCCAGGAGCAGCTGTCTTCATGAGGAGAGCCCAGATATCTTGAACCTCTGGTCGCTGTGCACCCCGAGCGCTCCGAACGCTCCGAACCCGTCGGGAGCAGCGACTGATTTCTTTAGAACCGGTATTAAAGAGAAGTCGCAGCTTTTCCCCGCAGACGTGCGACCCAAAGCGGCGCTGCAGCCGCAGAGTCACGACCGTCGGCGAATCAAAGGGAGCCTTAATCTGGCCGGCTCCATCACAGCCGCTTTATTCTGCCGCCACAGCCTCCGACTCGCTCTCATTCATGCCTGCTCGGTTGCGTCACTTCAAGCGCCGTCGTTTTTTTTTTTTTTTCCTGCGTCGGCCTTGAAACGCGGCGTCTGATCCGCTCGGCCGCGGTCACGACACAAAGAGCGCCGAGTGGCACAAAGAGGCCGGCGCCGAGGCTGCAGGAGCCAGACCCGGTTCCTCCGCCTTCACAGCCGAGCGGCGTTACGTAAAGTCCGACCTCGTTCCCGCTCGCTGCGTTTGTTTCCGCGAGTCGTCGAGAGTTTAGAAAGTAAAAAAAAAAAAAATGGTCGCTGGTTTCTGAAGAGTAAATGCAAACCTGTAGCGGAGGAAACGAGCTAATAAACGAGCTAATAAACGAGCTAATAAACGAGCTAATAAACGAGCTGATGGAAGCATCTGGAGCTGGTTCGTTACTGGAAGTCAGACGAGGTTCTGGGTTCGAGATGATCTGGATTTATCATTTATTTTATTATTTATTTGGTTTGGAGCTGAACTATTTGATTAAAGTGGAGTTTTTAGTTTATTTCAGGTGTTTAACGCCATAAAATGATGAAAAAGCGTAAAAAGTGTAGAAATGATGCCGATAATGTGGATTTCAGTGGTTTTACACGTGATGATTATTCAGTTTGTGGTCATTTTGTGTTTGATTTTACTCATTTTGTGTCGGGTTTTGGTCGTTTTATGGGCCTTTTAGGGAGTTCCGTCTCCTTGTGGTCCATTTGTTTCCCTTCTGTCATTTTGTACCTGATTATGGATGATTTTATTGTGTTTTTTTAAAACTCTGTCGATCATTTTGTCTAGTTTTTGTTAACCTTTCTCTTCCCTCTGTCATTTAATTTCTGGTTTTCATGGTATTTTGTGTCTCGTTTTGTCGCTTTATGTGTTTTTGGAACAGTTTTGTCTCTTCGTGGTCATTTTGATTCTT